GTATACACTGTATGTAGTTAATATATTTTGTATTATAATTGAAATACATCATTATTTGATCTAAATCACTTGTGAATTTGTGAATTTTATAAGGAGGTTTGAATTTCTGACTTCAATAAATACAGCTCAAGTCACCTGACCTCTACCTCAGTTCTGATCAGCACTAATCAGTCTTCTGGAATTCCATTCAGATTCCGGCGGAATCCATTGGAATTCCATTCAGATTCCAGCGGAATCCATTGGAATTCCATTCAGAATCCAGCGGAATCCATTGGAATTCCATTCAGAATCTGGTGGAATCCATTGGAATTCCATTCAGAATCCGGCGGAATCCACTGGAATTTGAGATTCCTACCATTCCGGCGGACTCCAGATGGAATTCCGACATTCTATGGGAGTCCATCGGAGTCCACCGGAACTCATGGGGGAGGGTAAAGTACTGTGAGAAAGATATAACCAAATCCATATTTTACCAGCATCTCTAGGAGATGTAATTCGGTTTCAGTCATACCTATGTCAAATCTTCATTAAATCTCTTAAAAATTGGTAGAATGACGGGTATTTACATGCTTTACTATTTTATATAACCCATTTATTTTTCAGAGTAATAATGGTTTATATTGTTAATAAATTAGATGCAAAAAAACCGGTCTGGATCGGTCTGAACCGGCTCCATAGACGACAAAAGACTGGTCCTAGGTGGTTCGGTTCGGTTCCCTCAATATCTGGGTCAGTCCTAGACCGGTTGCAGTCCACGGTTGCGCGTTTTGGGGGGCAAAAAACCGGACTGAACTGAACTTGCAAACACTAGGAATAATTGTTGACATTACAGACAATGAGGCTGTTGTGTTTTTGACAACGCAGGATGTGACAATTACCATACCCTTTTCATCACTTCAAAAACATCTTAAAGTAGGGGATGAAGTGCACATTCTTTCAGGAGACCACCAAGGTGTTATGGGCTGGGTAGTAAATCAAGACAATGACTATGTGTGTGTCTTCAATGACAGGACTGGAACAGAGGTAAATGTTTCATTTTTACAATACATACTCTGACATTCTGTCATCTTTTAGGTAGAGGTATCCTCTGGGAATGTTGAGTTCTTCAGCTCCCCCTTTGTCTTCGCAACGGAATCCCCGGAATCCTTGACAGCTGCACAAAAGCGAGTCATGAAGGGGGACTCGAACAGTCATCTTGTAGGAAAACATGTAATGGTAACCCAAGGCAATTTTAGAAGTTACCAAGGCAGAATAAAAAGCACAGTTGGTGAGAAAAGGCTTTTGGTCAAACTTGAGGTGCTGCTCCAATGCCCACAAATTTTGGACATCTCTGCACTACACATAGTGTTCGCAGGTCCAGTCTACAGGACTGAAAATATACATAGGACTAAACTGGACTGAACCACAGTCCGGTCTTTTTCCAGTTGCAGTTGCCCACATTTGTGGTCAGTCCAGTTGCCAGTTGCCATGTTTTTGTAAATATTAAAAAGCGAAAAAGACCGGTTTAGACCGGTTGCAACCGGTCTTTCATCTCACTATGTGTTGGAACTTACTCGCACACATTTTAACTTAATTTTCGGTCCCTCAATCATCAAAAAC